TGTGTGTATGTTGTGTGTGTGTGTAATGTGTCCCTTCCCCCCTCTCTTTTCCTCCCCTCTTTCTCTCTCTCCTCCCACTCACCTGGACTCTATATTCTGTTTGAAACATCACTGTTTTATAGAGGTCTGGAACTTTTGAGGAATTCTGTGGTTCGTTGTATTTGCCTATAGTGGAAGCGTCTTTCTTTACTGACTTGCCCTTACCTTTTTAATGGTATGTCTCAGATCTTGGTACCAGTGCCACTTTAGCTCATCCTTTTCAGACACTGATCTGAGCCATGTTACTCATGTTATCTTCAGTTTTATTAAAGTACGGTCATGATTTATTTTGGCCTAGTTAATGTATTTATTATAAAAATGGAATTTGTGATGCATTTCCCAGAGTGTTTGTGTTGGGCTGCTGAAGTCCATTTTATATGCTGGGCTGCTCAAGTCCATGTATATCTGGGCTGAACTTGATGTAGCCTGCATTTGCTGAAAACGGTCGTAGTCGAAATGGTCGTAAGTCGAATTTAATGACTGAATATCAACAAAACATTTTTGTAATGACTTTATTTTATTGTTTTATTTTGGTATTTCATGTTTTATTTTACTTTTTATGTTGTTAGTACTGTATTTTATACTGTAAGGTTTAGGATAAACACTGTGTACAACACAAATAGTTGTTTATTACCCAGAAATTTGGCATAAAAAACACTGTCGTAAATCAAGTGGTCGTAAGTCGAACAGGTCCTAAGTCGGATGGTAGGTGTACAGGTCTCCCTCAACATTCGCGAGGGTTAGGGGATCAAGAGCCTCGCGAATGTTGAAAAACTGTGAATGTTTGGTGCCCCAATATATTGTAGGGAAATATATTACAATACTGCTTCCTTAACTTGTTGAACCATGAATAATCATAAAATACATGAAAACGTCGTGAATTGTACTAAATATATACATGTTATGCTTTAATAACGTATGTTATTTAATAACATGTATGTTAATAACATGTATGTTATTAAATACCACAGACTCCACCACTGCCTCCACCACTGCGAGTCCCTACTACCCTCCCTCCGACCCCCGCAACTGGCAGCCAGCCCTCCCACCACTCAGTGTGGTGAGTGTTTTGTTTGTTCATTATTTGCTATTAAACTACAGAATAAATAATGTAAACCCATTCATGACTGCATATTGGAATGGCTATTAGGAAAGGTATTAGACGGTGACATCATGTGTTTACTCTTGAACACAGCAAAGAATCGAACATTTCTGCTATTGCTATAATAACAATAGTAAAATAATAATAATAATAATAATAATAATAAAATAATAATAATAAATACGATATAATTGAAGAAGGAAATTGTACAAAAATACGAGGGAGTGGTTGACACATCGTCAGTGTGACTTTGTTTATGCTGGAGTGAACATTAGTCTCCCTGCTCTTCCAAACATTTCACAATAATTCAGCGGTTGAGGCAGTGGTATTTAATAACATGTACTATTATATTTATAACATATATTTATTATTAATAACATGTATTATTATTAACATGTATGTATTTAATAACATATATGTTATAAATAATAATAGTACATATTATTAATGACATGTTATTATTAACATGTATGTTATTAAATACCATTGCCTCAATCACTGCCTCTACCACTCCAGTCACACTCAATCTACAAGCACCAAACACAATGAATTATTGTGAAATGTTTGGAAGAGCAGGGAGACTAATGTTCACTCCAGCATAAACAAAGTCACACTGACGATGTGTCAACCACTCCCTCGTATTTTTGTATAATTTCCTTCTTCGATTTATCTTATTTTATTATTATTATTATTATTATTATTATTTATTATTATTATTATTATTACTATTGTTATTATTAGCTGTAGCAGAAATGTTTAATTCTTTGCAGTGTTCAAGAGTAAACACATGATGTCACCTTCTAATACCTGTCCGAATAGCCATTCCAATATGCAGTCATGAATGGGTTTACATTATTTATACTGTAGTTTAGTAGCAAATAATGAACAAACAAAACAACTCACCACACTGAGTGGTGGGAGGGTGGCTGCCAGTTGCGGGGGTCGGAGGGAGGGGAGTAGGGACTCGCAGGTGGCGGGAAACTTAAAATATGATTTGGCGGCTGGGAATTTGGCGGCTGGAATTTGGTGGCTGGAATTTGGCGGTTGGGAATTCGCGAATGTGTGAAGCCCGTGAAAGTTGAAAACGTGAATGTTGAGGGAGACATTATATATATATTATATAATAGAGAGAGAGAGAGAGAGAGAGATGAATACGCAGTTTGGAGGGGTATGTTTGTGTATCTTTATACAGTGGCCCCGCATAACGATTTTAATCCGTGCAAGAGGGGTAATTGTTATGCGAAATAATCGGTATGTGAATGAATTTTCCCCATAAGAAATAATGGAAATAAAATTAATCGTGCAAGACACCCAAAAGTATGAAAAAAATAAATTTTTACCACATGAAATATACATTTTCCCACACACAAAGAAAGATACATGCACAATAGTAGAGTAGTACATTGCACAGTATATATTGTGCATGTACTAGTCTACTAAATGAAGAATAAATGACACTTACCTTTATTGAAGATGCAGCAATGACTGATGAGACATGTGTCCTGGGAGTGCCTTTTCCTCCTGAGTACTGTAGGTCCCTGTTTGGCATTTTTTTCCCAGAACAGGCCTTATCACACTGGTATGCCACTACGATTCCCTTAAATCTCTCAAACCACCTTTGCTGGCTTTAAATTCACCAATATGAGCACTAGTTCCAGGCATTTTTCCCTGTTCACCTGGGTGTTAGTCGACTTGTGTGGGTTGCATCCTGGGAAAACAAGATTAAGGACCCCAATGGAAATAAGTTAGACAGTCTTCGATGACACTGCCCTTTTTTGGGTTATCCGGGGTGGAAAATCCTCTGGGGTTAATTGTTTCTTGGTATTCTCAATAACCACACCAACAACGGTGCAAACAGCAGCAGCAGCAGCTGAGGGTGGTACAGCAGCAACAGACGATGCTACAGCAGCAACAGACGATGTTACAGCAGCAGCAGACGATCTACAGCAGCAGCAGCAGCTGACGGTGGTACAGCAGAAAACAGACGACGCTACAGCAGCAACAGACGATGTTAAAAGCAGCAGCAGACGATGCTACAGCAGCAGCAGCAGCTGACGGTGGTACAGCAGCAACAGACGATGCTACAGCAGCAACAGACGATGTTACAGCACAGCAGACGATGCTCCCAGCAGCAGCAGCAGCTGCGGGGGTACAGCAGCAACAGACGATGTTACAGCAGCAGCAGACGATGCAAACAGCAGCAGCAGCAGCTGACGGTGGTACAGCAGCAACAGAACGCTACGCAGCAACAGACGATGTTACAGCAGCAGCAGACATGCTACGCAGCAGCAGCAGCTGACAGTGCAGCAGCAGCAGCAGCTGTACCACCAATAGTAGCGGTGGTTGATTGGGGTTTATTATACAACCTGGCCAGCTCGGAGACACGCACTCCACTTCATATTTTATCAATGATCTTTTTCTTCATCTCTATTGTAATTCCACCCTTATTGCTGTAGGGTTGGCACTAGAAGCTTTCTTGGGGCCCATGGTCACTTATTTTCCAGAAAAAGCACCGAAAACACTGTAATAATACGAAATATTCCGATTGTATGCTTGGATGTTACCGCGGAGGCTGGCTGGTAAACAATGCCACCGGCGGAACATGTGAGCGTGGCTCAGGCCGCACATTGTACGCGTCTCGGACGAAAATCGGTGAGCGGGTTTTTAAGCGGTATGTGAGGCAAAATTTTGGCGATTAAAGCAAGCGGTATGCGGATTAATCGCTATGTGATGCCATCGGTATGCGGGGGTCCACTGTACGTATATGCTTCTAAACTGTTGTATTCTGAGCACCTCTGCAAAAGCAGTGATAATGTGTGAGTGTGGTGAAAGTGTTGAATGATGATGAAAGTATTTTCATTTTGGGGATTTTCTTTCTTTTTTGGGTCACCCTGCCTCGGTGGGAGACGGCCGACTTGTTGAAAAATATATAAATATATATATATATATATATATATATATATATATAATTAATATATATTTATATATATATATATTATATATATATATATATTATACACACACCTACCATCCGACTTACGACCTGCTCGACTTACGACCACTTGACTTACGACCGTGTTTTTTTATGCAAATTTCTGGGAAATAACAACTATTTGTGTGTACACATTGTTTATCCTAAACCTTACAGTATAAAATACAGTATTAACAACATAAAAAATAAAGTAAAACATGAAATACCAAAATAAAACAATAAAATAGTCATTACAAAAATGTTTTGATATTCAGTAGTAAAGTTCGACTTACGACCATTTCGACTTACGACCGGTTTCTCGGAACCGAACTCGATCGTAAGTCGGATGGTAGGTGTATATATGTATGTATGTATGTATGTACAGTAGGACCCCTATATCCACAGGAAATGCATTCCAAGGACCTGCTGTGGATACTGAAGCTGCGGATAGTAGCAAACCCTATATATAAGTCCTATACATACCTATTATAAAGTTTAATTGATAAATTATACACAATAAGTGGAGAATTATCACTTTTTCACTGATGGGAAGCACTGAATGGCTTCTCTAAGGCCTTGTAGAACTGCCAGCATCTCTACTTTTGTATACTTTGGGGCCATTATTATGCAAAATTAAGAGGTATTTTTGGGCCACAGTAAACCATGGATAACTGAAACTGCAGATACCAAATCAGTGGATTACAGAGGTTCTATTGTTTATTTATTTCACAAATATTTAATCAGTTTTATATTTCAGGATTGGTTTGGAATGAGTTATTTATTATAATTAAGGTATCTTTGCAGGCACAGGTTGTGATAATGTTGAAAGTTATTAACAATGTACTGTTACTATACACTCAGAGCTTCTAGGCTACGAATTGTCAAATTTTTTGTAAACAGCTTCTTAAAATGTATTTGTGGACGAGTATTTGTTTTGTGCTGCAGGGATGGGGTGCGGCGTTGGGAGCGCTGGGTTTCGTGACCAGGTGGTGGGGCTGGGCTATCTGTGGGAGACATGGACAGAGGCAGAACAGGTAGTGGTGGTGTACTCCCTTATCAGGCGCCTCAGTCCAATCCCTGCAAGATTCCTCCTCAACGTGCTCACCCACACCACCGCGCCCGACGCCGCCGACCTTGCCCCTGCCGAGGCCACTGCCAATGACCCAGGTATGGTACCACATTTTTCTTATTTGACCTAAACAGTTTCATTTTTACCAAAGTACATAACACAAGACTGACTATTAAGGACACTTTGAGGATGTATTTTTAACTTTTACATTGACTTTATAACATTTGCTTCTACAACTGTTGATGTGTACTTCAAGTTTTGAGCTGTTTTTTTGCAATTTTTCCTTTTGTTCTTGTTTCAGTTAGTGTTTGTATGATCCCCTTTTGTTTTTGCTTTTTTTGCAATTTTGATTGAATTTTCTATTTTTTGCATGACCTGACTCCTCTGGATGCTCCCTTCTAACCTGGTGTAACTGATGACAAGGGCCATTGCCACACCAGCACTTAAAGCCTACATGATGACAGTCTTGTTTGACAAACAATAATTCAGACTTGAGCCAGTAACCCGAACCAGAACTTACTGCATATGTGATGACAGTTTTGTCAGACCAGCATTGAAAATTCAGACCTTGGCAAATTCTTCAAGTGGTGTGATAGATTGAATAAAGACTCTTGTTGACTGAGACTATCCATGACTCACCGTGACTGCAGCTTGACACTTGCTTCCATATTTACGGCAATGCAAGTAAGTAATCCTTATTTTTTCTATGTAATGTGAATAAACAACTTAAATGGCTGACACTAGTTATACCTCACTGGATTTTGATCCTTGTCACCAAAGTTAAAGCAAAGTAGTTTTTGAGTCAGTTTATTTTACAGTTTAAGCTATTCATTAGTGATTATAAGATATATTAATTTTTACTCTGATATCTGTTGAAGTTTAAAATTGTTGCAGTATATGTAACAGGGGTCAGACAGTTACAGCAGTGGTTTGGTATAGAATTTGTAACACTAGCATTTGTGTAACTCAGTTACCTGGTATATGTTTGTTTTTGTGGATTGGCAAAGATGAGTTGGGGACGGGTGAAAAACGTGTGTGCAGGCTGTGTAATTTTAGATTTTTAGTTTCAGATATTTACACGATGCAGTATAGAAAAAGTAGCAGTAATATCACATATAGCGTCACTGTTTGTGAAATAAATTTGCAGAGAGGTTGAGTGTACTTATATTGGAGAGAAAGTATAAATAAAATTGATGGTGCTAAGAGTGCAAACCCAGTGTTCTTACTTGGGTAAATGAGTTACTGTACAAAGATTTTTGTGAGTATTAAAATTAGAAATGATAATATAGCAAATAAAGAAATAACAGTGAAATTAGTGTTAGCAATGTAAAACCAAACTAAGCCAGTGATACAATTAAATTAGAGAAGTGGCAGAAAATATTTGGAAACTAAATATAAATTACAGGGAGGGAATGCTCACTTCTGCCCAGGTCTAAGGCACAAATTGAATGAAGGCAACACACTCAAGATACCAAATGCTACTGAAAAATTTCACTTTAAAGGAACTCATTATAATGGCTTTTCGACTTAAGGAACAAAATCCAAACAAAGGATGAAATTCGGAAAAAGGGACAAAGTTTGTTTCCCTTTCTTTATTTCAAATCTGCAAAAAAAGTGTCTTAAGCTGTATTATTCTCTTGATTGAAATTAATAATACAATATAAAACATTCATTTGCAGATGTGAAAAAAAGTGTGTGCCTTAATGTTGGTAGTTGAAGCTAATTTGATAAGTTGAAGTGAAATTTGATACATTTGCCCAAAATGAATGGTCAAGCTGTGAGTGCTGATAGAGAAAGGGCAGATAAGAATAATGTATGAGAAAATTTTGCTGGTTGCAATTTAAGAGTGTAACTATATAGAGTGGATAGGTTAGCAATGTGGCAGATGTTGCAAGCACTATATGGAATAGGTGGTAAGTTACTAAATGCTGTAAAGAGTTTTTATGAGGATAGTGAGGCTCAGGTTAGGGTGTGTAGAAGAGAGGGAGAATACTTCCCGGTAAAAGTAGGTCTTAGACAGGGATGTGTACTGTCACCATGGTTGTTTAATATATTTATAGATGGAGTTGTAAAAGAAGTAAATGCTAGGGTGTTCGGGAGAGGGGTGGGATTAAATTATGGGGAATCAAATACAAAATGGGAATTGACACAGTTACTTTTTGCTGATGATACTGTGCTTATGGGAGATTATAAAGAAAAATTGCAAAGGTTAGTGGATGAGTTTGGGAGTGTGGTGTAAAGGAGAAAGTTGAAAGTGAACATAGAAAAGAGTAAGGTGATGAGGGTATCAAATGGTTTAGATAAAGAAAAATTGGATATCAAATTGGGGAGGAGGAGTATGGAAGAAGTGAATGTTTTCAGATACTTGGGAGTTGATGTGTCGGCGGATGGATTTATGAAGGATGAGGTTAATCATAGAATTGATGAGGGAAAAAAGGTGAGTGGTGTGTTGAGGTATATGTGGATTCAAAAAACGTTATATTTGGAGGCAAAGAAGGGAATGTATGAAAATATAGTAGTACAAACACTCTTATATGGGTGGGAAGCTTGGGTTGTGAATGCAGCAGCGAGGAGGCGGTTGGAGGCAGTGGAGATGTCCTGTCTAAGGGCAATGTGTGGGTGTAAATATTATGCAGAAAATTCGGAGGTGTGGAAATTAGGAGAAGGTGTGGAGTTAATAAAAGTATTAGTCAGAGGGCTGAAAGGGGTTGTTGAGGTGGTTTGGTCATTTAGAAAATGGATCAAAGTAGAATGACTGGATAGCATTTAAATCTGTAGGGGAAGGAAGGCGGGGTGGGGGTCGTCTCGAAAAGGTTGGAAGGAAGGGGTTTAAGGGAGGTTTTGTGGGCGAGGGTTTGGGATTTCCCAGCAGGCGTGCATGACATGTTCGATAGGAGTGAATGGAGACGATTGGTATTTGGGACCTGAAAGATCTGTTGGAGTGTGAGCAGGGTAATATTTAGTGAAGGGGTTCAGGGAAACCGGTTATTTTTATATAGCCGGACTTTAAATCCTGGAAATGGGAAGTACAATGCCTGCACTCTAAAAGGAGGGAGTTTGGGATATTAGCAGTTTGGAGGGATATGTTGTGTATCTTTATACATATATGCTTCTAAACTGTTGTGTTCTGAGCACCTCTGCAAAAACAGTGATTATGTGTGAGTGAGGTGAAAGTGTTGAATGATTTAATGAAAGTATTTTCTTTTTGGGGATTTTCTTTCTTTTTTTGGGGCACCCTGCTTCGGTGGGAGATGGCCGACTTGTTGAAAAAAAAAAACCTCTCAATCATTATAATCATCATAATAATAATAATAATCTGTATTTCTACAAGTACAGCCTCTCCTCACTTAACCCTTTGAGGGTTTTCGTCGTACTAGTACGTCTTACGCGTAGGGGTTTTTGACGTACTAGTACGCATAAATTCTAGCGGCCTCAAACTCACGCGAAAGGCTGGTAGGCCTAGGTGTAGGGAAGGGGTCTGCGGTCGTGTCCGGGGAGAAAAAAAACTACCCGTGGGGCTTGGGGAAGCCCCTTGAAACAATGCCACCATGCCTCGCGGTAAAAGTCCTCACTCCTCGCAAATTTGGGGACATTTTTTGTTCCCCAGTGACTTTTCTAATATGATGGAAGTGCCGTAAGTGAGTTTCGGGGTTTAGTAGGTTTTGCCCAAAACTAAGACCAAATATCGGTAATAGTGAAAAAAACCCCAGACCCCCAGCCCCACCTCGGTGGGGGCCCTCGGTTTCACGTTCATTTTCCAGAACCCAAGGGGAAAACTTTTTTTTCCCCCAATTCCCCAGACTCAATAAGCATGGGTGATGATAGGATAGTGAATAGAACACAAGCTTTTAAAAACTAGTTCCAGTGTGATTAAGTGCAATTTCCCCAGTGAAGGCAGAAAACGATATATAGCCTTTTGGAAGTTGCCATAGTTATACCAAGGGGAAAGGGAGTGTATCTGGGGTTAATCCCGGGCTGTAAACAGGAACAGACATGAAAAATGACGAAGAACTTTTGAAATTGGGGATGGAAAATTTGCGGGGTGGTATTGGTGCGGCGGTGAGGCACCACAGGGGGGCCATGCTCCCACCCCGCTGCCCCCCACGCCGCGCCCAGCTGATCTAAAAAAAGGCCACCACCCCCACTCCCCCCCCACCCACCCCCACAACCAAAACCACCTGTCTTTGCCCATCCCCACCGCAGACCGCACTGGGATTGGCAGGAAAGCTTTCAATTTTTTGTTCCAAATCCCCCCCTTTTTGATGGCAGCCAAAAGGAATACGGCCATCTTGTGAAAAGGGGAACATCCCCTAAAAGGAATGTTTCGAGTTATTCTTTAAAACAAACCCACTTGAAAAGATTGCATGGAAAAGCAACACATATACGGAAACACCAGGGCAAACCAATTTTTTCACCAAAAACGTTACACCAAGGGAAGGGAGGCAACTGGGGCTGAGATGTATCTTTTCTTTGCCACAATAATTTTTTTCCCCCGTGTAAAAAGCACAAAGTGAAATCTACTGGTCACAGACCCCCTGATTGCAACACCAGTTTCATGATAAATGCCAGTGAATCGATTTGTCTAAGTTACTAGCTTATTTCTCAGATAAAACCAGGCCACAAATGAATTTTATAAAAAATTAGGAATTTTTTGGTTCAAAAACAGAAATTCAGTATCATTTTTCCCCCTTCAGGAAGCTTGTTTGACGATCTTTGATTCTTTTAAAAGGAAGACTCTTTTAAAGGGAGTACATCCCAAGCAAGGGGAAACGCTTTGGTAAAAGTTGTTTGTGTTTTGTGATTGTTACAGGGGTTTGGTTTGGATTTTATTGTGTAACTGGAATTTATACATTGCAAATACCAGAAGTTATTGGCATCTCAGGGTGATGGGGTTAGAACAATGTAAAACCATCCCTTGGGAAGGGGGGCATTTTTTAATACAGAAAACTGGTACACAAGCCCCTCACTCATGTTTTTTTTGCGAGTAAACATACAGATGGTGTGGCACGTGCGGCAAATCGAAAACAATGCCAGGTTTGATGCTGGCACCGCAAGGTGAGGTGCAGGCGTTGCTCCCAATGCATCATGGCATTTCGGTGCGGGACAAACGAATGTCACCTGTTGTCATCAATTCCCCCAAATAAAATGGCAGACATGGCAGGCAGCATAGAGGAGAAATAAACCCATTCTAAAACCTCAGCGTGATTGTTTACACCTTCAACATCGTTCAGTGACAAATGTGACATGCAGATTGGGTTTGCTGATTGTTTGCAAGAGTTATAAGTGGTAATCAACTTTTTTTCCATCTTCTGGCTTTTCCATGCTAAATGTTATAAATTATAAATGAGACCAAAAACAAACCACAGTACGGCGAATTCTGTTTTGCCCTGTATCAGACAAATAGATTCAAGTCCCAAAGGGAAAGCACCTGAAAGACCCCCACCAAATTATCAAACTACCTGTCATCTGAACAGGTGATCACTTCCGGTAAAACTCCCTGCAAAGTTTTGAAAAAAAAGGCTCAGAAGGGTGTTACGTCTTTTCCCACATTAAAAAAAAACGCCCCACAACGAGAACACCGTTTATTGGAGGAGGCAAAACTCCACTGTGCATGACACCCATGTTTAAAAGTTTTCCACAGCTGCAGAACTTCTAAAAACAGTCCTGTGCTGTATTTGTATAAAAAAAATAAGAAAAAAGTAATAAACAACATTTCATTTTGTTTTTTTTGTGTAAATATTTTCTGTAAACAAAATAATGACAACATGTTTACGCCCTTTTGTGAGTTTTGAAAAAGAAATAACTTAAAAAATCTATATGTTGGCCTCAAGGCCAAAAAAAGTTACTCAGAAAAAGAAAAATTGAAAAAAAATTAAAAAAAGTCATAAAAAAGTAAAAGAAAAATCCCGGGGGTAGGGGCAGCCGGCGATGTTACCATATGTTGTTAAATTTTTGGAAATTTCACACCTCCATATCTGGGAAGTTTTGGTTAAAATTTTTTTGTTTAGCCATAATTTTTAAAAAAAAAATACTCTTTTTTTTTCATAAAAAAAATTTTTTTTTTTTTTTTAAATTTTGGGCCGACCCGAAACGAGTTTGGGAGGGGGCCCTGTCGACCCTCAAAGGGTTAATGATGGAGTTTTCAAGGCCATTTGGGAAAAAAATTTCATTGTAATGGGGAGCATGCAAAATAGTAGTGGGTTTGTGTCAACCTTTTTTGATATTTTTTTTAAAATGTCACCTTTGCACTTTTTTATAACATTTCTGTGTTTTTAAAAAATTTTTTATACAGCATGTATTGTATATTGAAATAAACAGAAAGAGGAAATCACCTTATACATTTTTAGGTATGCATATGATCAAAAATCATAAAACACAGAAAATTTTGTCTAGTGCCACCCTTTGGAAAAGAAGGGAGAAAGACTATATAATTCAAAAAGAACTCATACAAGTCCCAAAGTGGGGGGGAAGGAGGAGGGGGAATTACCTTTTCATGATTCTACGATATGTATGTTTCAAAAAGAATTAGTCGATAAAGGGCATAGGCCAGCCAGCGAAAAGTGTACAATAGGTTTTAAGTGATTAATTGATAAAAAAGGACAGCACAAATCAACTTCCCAGTTTTGTTGGGGTATATAGGGCTATTATTAATCACCCCCGCCTCGGTGGTTCACCACCATGACAGTTTATGCTCTCAGGGGCCCTTATAATCAAAAACAAAACAAAACAACACTCAATTAATATTATTATTAATAATGAGGGGGTTATTACTGTTAAAAATATTCTTATTATGTTTTTAATATTGTTATTATTATATTGGGTCAATTGTGATAAAAAAATAAGCAGTAAGTTTTTTATGTCATTTGAAGGCGGTTGTCCTGCCTCCAAACAAATTTTTCCCCCACCAAAAATCCTAAGCACAAAATGACTATTTTAAATATATTGGGGACGGGGCATTGCAATGTTCAAGCCCACAAAAATGGAACTTGCTATGGAGGGAGACCTGAGCCCTAATGAAGAGATTGTACATGACAACGTTACAGGCCTAGCAATATAAAGACACCTACACGGGGTCCCCGCTTTTCGTGTTCCCCCGCAACGAAAAAAATTCCCCAACATGGGGTATTTTCGTATAAACATGGACCCCTTTTTCATGGGTTGACCTCGAGTGTAGTTGTCCGGGACCGTCCCACGGGGTGGGCCAGGGCAGCCC